TAACCAACTCATCTTCCATCATGTAAATGAAAATTATTTTGAAAAGTTATGGAGTCATTTCGACAGAGTTTTATTCATGCACATTTAACTTATAGCCCAGATTTCAGAAAAAAAATTATATTTTAGGTTGATTGATTACTTTCATTTAGTCTATAATAACGTTTATATCTTGAAAGTAAGATTTGGATTTTAGCATAGACTTAAAAATGATAAATGGATAATAAGTTTTTTAAAAAGGAGCGAAGAATGGTGTGTTTTTTCAATGAGATAAGTTAACACTGATTTATATTAAGGAGTTATACTATGGACAAGAATTATTATAAAAATAAGTATTACAGAGAGATAATTCAAATATAAGGCTAGATAGGATCATATTTTTAATAATGAAATTTGATTTTAATAACCTCTATCATCATGTGAAGCAAAAAATCAAAATGTTTTTCAAAGTAAACCCTAAGAATTGTAGAATCTTTTGATTATTTCTACGCTTAAAACTATTATGTTCTATCATTTTGTAAAATCTCTTCGAAAATTTTCAAGTTATTCTCCGGACAATACTGAACAATTATCTTAAAGGTGATTCAGTTATGCCCTTTTTACTCTGCACTTATGTAAGGACATATATTCCGTGCAAGTTTTATCAAATTAGGGCCAATAACTAAAACAAGGTAGGATTATAGTTATAAGATGCTGCACTTTATCTCAATGGTTTCTTTTACTGTGTAAATGTTATTGAAATTCATTTTTCGTCTAGCCTTTCCCTGACTTGAAGGACACGGGCTCCAGAGCAACGTTATGTCATTATTATTTTATTTTGATATTTTTACCCGACATTATGGTCAAACATTTCAGTTCTTTAAACCAAAAATACAATTCAAACCCACAGAGCTACAGTTTTTGAACATGATAATGTCAAGATGTACACAAACCTTAACCTCTAATTGTTAAATTCGTATGACCAGGCAAAAGAACGGACGTAAGAATTTACAAAGCCTGAATATAGGCTCCCTGCCACGTCTCTGAGGATAAAAAACCTTTAAAACTAAGCATTCATATACAAGTTATCTTCCTAGTTATTGACGTTATTGTCACGTAACTAAAATATGATGCTACGTAATTTGGATGAATTAAAATATGTTACAACACAATTTAGTTTAGTTAATATATAATGTTAAACAATTATAATCAGTTAAAATATGTTGCAATACAAATTAAATGAGTTTGTCCCTCGTCAATTAGGGCTGGACACCAGACGCCGACATGCCTGGAACACACAGATTGGAACAGCTGGAGTCTCAACGTAACAGTAAATAGAATATGTTTCTTTTTAAATTTCATGGTGTCGGCGTGACTAAAAATAAATTCTTAAAAATGCATGCTTCTAATTTCAATTTATTTTAAGTTTTCTTGAATCAACATGAAGAATATGAAAACTCTGAGGTTTTTTTTGTACCCATGCTTATGTGATTTATACATTATAATGTGCTGAAAAAAAGCTCGAAACCCGATAAATAACTAAATAACAAAATCCTGTAACTCAATTTTTATGTGGTATTATACCATTAATATGTTGCTCAAATGAAGATTTATCAATACTGTAAGTTCCAAAAAGCATATTTTTTAAAGATATTACCAAATTCATATTTCATGTTAATAGAGAGAGAGGGGTATTAAAATATTTATTTTCGATAAACTCTTTGCAAAATTTAGTTAATAAAAATGAATGCATATTTTCAAAAAATACTAGTCTTTTAATCAGGGCTGAGAATCAAAACTTCGTCGTTTCCTACAAAATGTAAACAAACGCCGCCATCTTGGAACGAAAAAAAGGCATATTTCTGTTTATACCCTTTTTTGGTTGGAAATGACGCTCCACTATTTTTTGCTTCGTGCGGTACATGTCGCTTGCGCAACTTTTTTTTGTCAAACAAAAATTATGGCAAACTTCCAACTCGAAGGTTTTGGTTGATATTGCTCTATCTATCGTTTTTACACTCAAAGCAATTATATACTCGTTTCATAACAATAATCTTCAAAATTTAATTCTACATCATTTTCTAATATTTCATTAAAAAGAAATGTTTATTTAAAAAGAAAATAATGATTTGTACGAAATAATACGACGCAGTTGAAAATAATATATTATACGACGCAGTAGGTTAATGTATATTGGTGCATCTATTGAATAACGCTTTCAGGAGGATGGAAACGCCCACCAACATTTCGAGTTTGTGAATTTTTTATCATTATGAATTCACACATGTGACATTGTATAAAATTTATAGCCAATTGGTCACTCATTGGTTCCACATAAACGGAAAATGTAATAAATTTTCTATTAAGGCGTCATTTTTCGGACGCTTTCTAAGCACCTATCATAAGCATCAACACATTCCTAAAAATATATCAAATGCAAAATACATTGAGACGCGTGATCGTACACCCGTATGAGAACGAGTTCTAGTGTTTCCTAAGCATGCTTGTAAACTTGCTTTTAGAGTGGTTGTTTTCATTAAATTTTGCAGTTTGTTTTCCGATGCAAATTTTTAAATATTCCAGAACAAATGAGCTTTAAATCATTACTACATACTTAAATCAGCATTTGAAATAAAGTCTTATTCCTCTCTTAAATGAACATTAAATGTTTCAAATCATATATAAATATTTAAATTACGATTTTTTGTTTGCAAATAATGAGTACGTTTCATTTAGTCATGCTGATTTTGTCGAGTCAAAAAAGATAAAATCATTTTGTAGAGAAAGTGTTCGTTTTGAAATTAAAGCCGGGATGAGACAAATATAGATTAGCATATCACGTTGTGTTTACCATAGACTTATGACATGTCATCTTAATATGCCTCCAATTTGAGGATTGTTTTAATGTGTGATTTTTGTGTGACTTCAAAGAGTATTACTCATTGTTAACATTGAAATCTATCTCTGCCACACATCACTGACACAATACTTGTTTCTAAAATGTAAATCTCAAAGAATAAAGTGATCTTAGTGAGTAAGGAAATGTTTCTTTCAACAAGAAATTTAAATGATATTCTCTTTGTGATCAATTCAACTATTTGTAATCTAAATTCTCCAAACCAGAAAATGATTATAAACCTGCTTATCTGTACAGCTAACATGAAGAACAATCTCATGTAGTTAACACATTTTGTTGAAAAAACAATTCAGAAAGGTGTGCCCAACCGAGGCCGAGCTTTTAATGTTAATTGACTTCAAATCCCTTGCCCTGAACTGCTGTGAATTCGTAAACAACCTTAGACGACTTTTGATTCTTACGAGTTGAAAACCAAACAAGCCAGCTACAAAATGTCGATGCAACATTTTGGCTGAATTAATGCACAAAGGCGCACATGATGTCCTTGTCCTAATAAAGCTAGAGAGAATGCAAGGTTGAAATAAAACACAAACATATCAGCCATTACATAGAATATGTAGAACTACGCTTTACTTAAAGCATAGCCAGCCAAAATGAATTTTGTGAGTTGAGTTCATAGACTTCTATATTAAAGATCATGTATGTTGTAATAAATGTTGTTATCACAGTTAAGTAAACTTTTATATATGAATATGATAATTCTTCTCAACAAGTTTCAAACATCAAAGAATATGTAAAATATTTGTACACATAATATGTAATCATTAAAAAATAGGCATTCATTTCTTATTGAAAATTTTGACTTACATTTCACAAATTACCTCCAAATATTAACATGAAAATATAAATTCGGTAATATCTTTTCAAATAACGCTTTTTGGGCAAACTTACCATTTTGATAAATCTTCTATTGAGTATTATATTTATGATATAAAACCATAAGAAATGTGTAACGGGATCTTTAATCCCTTAATTTATAGGAATACCATTGCACATACACGAAGATAAAAGAAATAATTTCAGGTATTATGATTAATATATTAATAAACATATAAATGTTTATCGGAAAAGTAGCTTTGGCAATGTAAACTTTCAAATTAAATGCTTTATTGGAAATCAAGCAACGTATTTTAAATATTTAATAGCAACGGAACATCGCTTAACCGTAAATGATCATTTCTTTATCAAGCGCTAGTGAATATTCGGTAAAATAGACTTATATTGGCAAAAATGCCACTGTTGAAAACTTGAAAAGACTGCCAAAAATACGACAGCTTCGTATCATATTTTCTTTTCAACTGCGTCTTATCATTTCGTACATATTGTTTTCATTTAAAATAAACTATTGTTTTCATTCAAAATAAACATGTCTTTGAAATTTAGTAAATGATGTGAAATTATATTTTAAAGTTTACTCTGAAACGAGTATACAATTTGTTTGAAAAAAATGACGGATAAATCAATATGAACTGCGTTGTATCCACAAAACCCAATAAAAAATATGTACCGCTTTGAGTTCCATCCCTGATAATGCGACGTAAATATGAAACATATTCTCGGATGCTTGAAAATTGTTTAAGAAGAATAATTAAATACATATATAGTATTTCACTTAAGTAAGTGTTGTTACATACTAGAATTACGACATACAGGATCTTTACAGTGACATTATGCTCATATCTACATTGTAAAATTGAGCTGAATTGACTTTATATTTCAAAAGATTGACTGTTAAAATTTGAATAATAATTTGAATAATGTTTGAATCCGGTGGTTATTTATTGTTTATGCGAATTAAATCATTAAATCAAAAGAAATTATGGAAAAATGAAAATTTATTTTGACTCTCACCTGTTCACTCACTTTATACTTTTAGATGAATTTAATGTCACTTTAATTATTGTAAAAGTGCTTTGTAGGGTTATACGATACATGTGTCATACATCAACTAGTATTTGTGATTTATTTAGTCGAGAACTTTCGTAAAACATTTCCCGTATTATATCGTTATACAATGTATATCTAAAATCGATTTAATACCTTAACAAACTAGATACGAAGCGGTAAAATGTCTTAAAAAAACAGACTATTAATCACTTGAATAACCATGCAAGCCCCGACAGATATAATATATAAATCGTTATACATTTTATATATCTTGTTAGAGTTGACAGATACGTGGAAGAAGGTGCACATTTTCGAGTTGATATTACCATATTTATTAAATTTGTAAGTTTTTGCTACAACGTGGAAATTATTAATCAAGGTAAATAAATACATATTATGTTGTTGATTTTTCTTCGGAAAATTAATTATGAAAATCTTCGAAATGTATGTTTTGTGTATTTGCAAGAGTTAGTATTTCCATGTCGTTTGAAATAAAACCAATGTACGGGGTTTGTTTCATAATATTTGATCGATTTTCATTGCGCCGTATTGTCGTATGTTTGTATTTGCTTGGTGCGACTGACTAGTCCTGTTTGTACAATGACGCATATTAGTAAGACACAAGCTAAAGATATCACGTCAAGAAGATGCAGTTGGCCGAAGCTCGCAAAACAGCGAAAAGTAACAATTTCTTTTTCATGACAACACCGGCTAGTCTATATTTCATCCAGATAATCTACAAATTCGATCGAGTGATTGTCAGTCAAATAATTTCAATCGTTACTTCAGATGCAATTCAGGTACAACTCACTCATTGCTTCAGACATCAGTTTTTAAATAGATCCGACATCTCCTAGTTTGGTAGTCGTGCTGATACGTAAAATCCATTGAATTTTGGCCCCAATGTAAAGGTAGAAAAGTGAATGATTCTCATCAATTAGCCTTGAAGGCACCATTTATATGCTATATACATTTGTAAGGGCTCTTTTGTTAAGGCAAGCTCAACGCTTTTAGAGAAAGTGATACTTTTATTATCTTTAAAAAACTCCCCTTAAATTTTTGTTAACTCAAAATTTATATCATTTTGCAAAAAAAAAGATGAAAAATAAGGACCGAAAGTTTTTAGTTTTATCTAATTTTCTGGTACGCTAACGTCTATGTTGAAGCTTGTGTTCTCCTTAAATTTACGTTTTTCTCTATCACTTCTAGAAAGATATTTAATTTAACTGTCGTCACCTTAATTCAGAAACTTAATCAGTTAAACTACACAAGTGTCAGTCATCTTGTACAAAATTAAAGTGAAATATTTACAAAACTAAACATATGCTGATGTGTAACCATTGAGTCAGTTTTCTAAAACCTTTTGATGTTCATCGTGTTTTATCATGGTATATGAGCAACCATCAAAACCAAGGACATCAACAGTAACAGAAACAACAACACCACCAACAATAAAGACTTGTTTTGATAACATTTATCACTATTAAACATGTATATTGTAAATAAGCAAACATCACCATAGCGAAAACAACAAATGTAAAAATAGAATAAAAACAACCTCAACCCCTAACGTATAATTCGTATGCCCGAACAAGCAGACGGACGAAAGAATGTACAAAACGCTGACTACATGTTCATCTCCTGTGAGCATAAAAATCTATTTGATATAAAACTAAGCTTTTAATTATAAGTTATCTGCATACTAATTCGTTATAATCGTGTAATTAAAACACAATATTGTTTGACGCTTTGCAAGATTTGATAAACTAAAAAATTATATAATAATTAAATAAAAGAAATATTGTTGAAAACATGCATTCAACTTTATATTACAAATTTGTGTAGCAAGTTATTTAACTATTGCAAAAGTGCGTTGTAGGTTTATTAGATAAAATACATCTGCTAAAAAGTATTTTGGTGTTTTTATTTCGATAAAACGTTCGACAATAACTTCTTTGTAAAAAAAAAGTCGACAACGGACGCACTTACGCACGGACGCACCGACGGATGATTGTGACACCGGACAAATTGTGATAGCAAAAGCTTACTTTGTGGACTTGGTGCTCAGGTGAGCTAAAATATATTTTGCTTGTATAATCAAGTGACCAACATAATTCAAATACTTTAAATAAACACTAGCTTTCACTTTTTTTTCACAAATAACAATCTGTCTTCAAGTGAACGCCTCGGGGCAAATGACCCACTTGTTTATACATGTGTACATGTAATGCAATTTTTCTGAAAAGCGATTTATAGCTGAGAGTCATAAACGCTATCAAGGCAGGGAATCTCATGAATTTATTTAAGGTCATGGCCACTAGTAAGAGCGCTATGCAGGGATTTTCATGAACTGATCTGAGCACATTATAAGGGCATCATGATTCACACGATGTATATAATTAAAATATAAAATAATATATTTGTGTGTTTTCAGAAAAAAATAATGCTTTATTGAAAAGAAGTGTTTAAGAAAAAAAAACTGTAACTGTATTTCAAAGTTTATTACAACTATGTAATGCAGTAAATACAGAAATTTGTATCAAGTAAGAAACCTTTATTATTTGCAGTTAGATCATTGATGCCAGCACTATTAATTTGTAAGAATTTGGTGCCGCTCAAGCCATTGCTAGGGGTGTAAGGGATGTTGCACTTTACATTATCCTTCATGTACAGACTCAATCAAACCGAGTCTGCAATTCTCTTGTTATATTGTTGTGATTAATGCTTCCGAATGATCACTTGGTTTCCATTTTTTTTATATTTTGAACCAATTATTATACTATGGCCTTTTGAAGCTTATTATTTGACACATCTGATGACTGTCTATTATTTGAACGTAGGTCTTAAACAAAAAATTATAGAAACCTGACCCACTTTGTTTCGTGTGTGTCACTTTCCTTATTCTTTTTATTAGTTTATTATTTGAAAAGAAGAAATTATACCCGGAGTCCCAAATTCACTAGACATAACGGCATTATGCCAAAGTTTAATATTATAAAAAATAAAAACAAAATCTTCTGTTCCTAATAATAAGTGTTGTATTTTTGCGGTGACATGGCATTTTCTCAAACGCAATCTTGTATTGATTTCTCGAAACAAAAATCACATAAATATGATAGTGTCGTCAAGTGTACACATTAAGTGATTCAACCAGGCCTTTATCTTTGACTTGTGAAGATACGCAATATTTTCGTAAGTAACAAAGCAGAAGTTGGGGCATTTAGGATGGCAAGGCTTTGTCTAAACTTCTCTATGAAAACATTTTGTTTTTGCAAGAAACACATTAACTGACATATTGAAGCAGTATTAGCAGTTATACTGCTTAAGTTAAGTATGCGTCATCTAGTTTAAAATCAACACAAAAGCTATTTATCAGCCAAAAAATATAATTTATTATATTTGATGTTTGGAACATTTCTTTCCAGGTAAGCTTACAAGATGGAAAATCTGGACAGTAACAGTACAATGTGCTGCTCAACCCACTCGGATAAAGTTGCAAAAGCAGCGTGCATAAGCACAAAAGAACTTCTTTGTTTTGAATGCCTTTTGGAAAAAGCAAAGGCCTCAGTACCTGTAAAGGAACTTGAAGAAATGTCCGAGGGAGTTGAAAAGCTCATACTTGATTGTTTAAAAGAGAAGCAAAGAGCTCAAAGAAAGAACAACTATATTGACGAATACAAAAAGAAAACAGAAGATGCCAAAGAAAAATTAAGTAAAGAAATTCATTGTTTCTATGAACAACTTACAGAAAAGATCGTTAAAATGAAAGATAACACACTTCTTTCTTTGGAAGCTAAAAACACTTTGCTTCTTGAAATGTGTAATAAAGATGAAGAGAAACTCAAAACTGCAACACGTATGATTAACACACATCTCGATAAGTTATCAGAAGCAAAAGGAACAGATTTTGACAAATTCAAAGCAGAAGTGGAAAAGATCATGAATAAACTAGATGACATTGTTGACCATGAATCCTGTCCTGAAGCAGTTTTTCATGCTTCAAAACAATTGAATGAAGTGATACACATGTCCGAAAGCATGATTGGAGAGGTCATTTTCTTTGCATCTGATCATTACGAAGCGCTTGGGCCAACAATAACGGAAAGTAAAGAAAACCCTGAGGGAACAATTTTGGAGGACCCTACGTCAGTCGTCCAACCTAAACTTGGTTCGGATGAAGTCATTGAAGAAATAAAACCAATAGTTATTCCACGTGAGAGAATTCCAAGTAAAGAGCCAGATTCGCCTGAATCAATTCAAGTACCTGAAGAAAATGGCAAATCGAAAGGGAAACAAAAAAATCCGATAAAAAAACAAGAAAAAAAACGAATAAAGCTTTTCAAAAGGTCAAGTAAACAAGATATACAAGAAGATGATCTACAAGTTTATGAAGAATTTAATTTTAAAAACGAAAATTCAGAACAGGAGGCAAGGCATCTGGTTAATAGAACAGTGACGCTGTCTGAGTTTCCAGATGACTTAAGTACCTCATTCAAATTCACCAAACTTGTTCCAATCGGATTAAGAAGAATAGGACTCTTAAGCGAAAACCATTCAAGTATTTTTTTATGTGGTCTGGACGGAAAGATTCAATGTACAAAAACCTACCCAAAAGACGCTCTAATTAGCATTGTGGAAATGGCAGATGATATGATAGCGGTACTTAACAATAAGGCCACAACTATTGAAACATTGAAAGTTATAGACAAGAGATTTGAAGTGAAGAATACTATTAACTTAAAACTGGACATTTCAAAAGTCACGGGATTTGATTATTTAAAAAAAAATCCCACTTGGCTATTGGGACCGAAATGGAATATGTCATTTTTGATAAAAAGGGAAAGAAAATCAAATCTGTGAGAATGGAGACGAGTGAGGATTCTAAAGACGTCTTTACAATTTATGATTTTGAAAAAAGCAACGTTTTCATTGTCAGTAAAACAACAAAATCTCTGAAATGCTTTGGTTTTCAAAATGCGGAGGTTATGTGGCAATGCAAGTGTGAAGACCCTTTGTTTCAGCCAGAATCAGCATGTTTGTACCAAAGCAAGCTTTACATTGCATCTTCCCACGCAGTCATACAATTTTCGACAACAGAAGGAAAACTAGAAAGAGAATATAAACATGATGACCTTATTCAAAACTGTCTTGGTCTCTGTGCAATAGATTGTGTGCTTGCAATTTCTTCGAATTCACCTGATCCCGAAGAATCAAAAAAGCTAGGTTTTCTGGCTCTATAAAATTAGTATGGTGTACAATAGTGAAAAGAAAAGGCTTGAAAATCTTAATGAATATAAGAGGCTTAAATATGTAATTTCAAAATATTTACAGTATCATAATTTCATATAATGAAGTCTTGAAACTAGAACAAGTATAACAAATCTTAGCTGTATAAAACCTGGAAACGGTTGGAGTAAGCGTACTTGCATTCCTGTATTTCGAAGCAAAAGTTTGCTTACTTGAAAAAAAAATAAAAAAACATCTTTACTTAAATAACTTCGAAATTAAACGCAGTATTTTTTGGACAAAAATATGAGAACCAATTTAGCCTTATGACATTTGTTTATGAAAAACGCTGAAGTTTATTATTAAGGTTTGCAGTTTGTGTATGCATATCCTGTTTTAGTAGCTTTAATATATTTCATCAAGTATAGGTATGGTAACCTTTACCATATATATCTATGAAATGTTTCATAATGTATTATAGTTATTGTCTATTTCGTCATATATAGCTATGATACAGCTTTGATTTATTTCATCTTATTTATTTTATTTTAACTTATGTATATTTTATCTTTGTTATGGTATATTGAATCATGTACAGCTGCTGTATATTGTATATTGTATATTGTATATAGCTTCATCTGATTACACGTACAACTTAAATTGATAACTTGCGTTAATGTAAGAAACTTTTGTTTTGGAGGTAAAAAGATTTCCTAAATAGATTTGTTATAACATTTGTGAAAGCAATGTACGGATAATGAGGTCGTGACTTAATGTACTTGGAGAGGTTTCTGTTCTTCATTACGATTCAATAGTGAAAATTGTGTATGACCTTCGCCTGTAGAAACGTACATTTACTGAAGAGGTGAAGGTTGCCTGTACAAAAACCAGGAACACAGTTTAGGTCAACCTTCCACTGAAATACTTTTGAATGCGGTGATAGAGATTAGTGCTCCACCTAACAAGTATTTAGAGAAAAGAAACATGCGATAAAACACGTTACCTACTGCAAGCGAAATGTACATAAGATACTTTGCTATTTTTGTGTGATCGTTGTCGTTAAAAGCGCTGTGCATTTGTTTTGCAATTTGAAATTGCTTAGTGTGGGCTTTATATTTTATTTGCTTACGTGTTTTTTATGACTACATACATTGGCACTTGATCGTAGCTAAGGATTGTCTAACTACTTAAAAAAGGAGACGAAACAGGAAGATAAAATAAATATATGCTCATAAAAGACACTTTTCATAAATCACGTATTGCTCAAATGTCATTGAAATGTGCTTTATCATTTTAAAACCATGCTTATAATGCTTGATGTGCACTGTCAACCAAATAACAGATAAGATAAAAGACAATGTAAAACATTTTTCAACCATGATTACATATTATCTCTTTTTTATTAGTTTTTGAAAATACTTACATTTATTCAAATACTTGAAAATAGATAATATGAGTAATATGCTGTCAGATTGATAATATTTTTTTTTTAGTTTTGAATGAATGAATCACAATAACATTGTCGTTAAAGAATACAATAAATGACAAAATGCGTAACAATAAGTGGTACAAATTAGAGATACAGGTTGGAAGCACTTTGGTGTTATTCGTTATCTTAAATTATTTTAATCTTTCTAAACTGAGAACATTTTTTTCGTTTGCCATCAGAACACATTTGTTAAATGTTAACTTCTGATTGCTTAATGTAAAACCAGTTAAGAAGCAATTGAAATGAACGATTTTTATTTTGTTTTAAACTGTTTCTAGGTTATAACCTTTCTTCATCACTTTTGGTTTAATAAGATGTACCTGATAAACAAGTTTGTTTTCATTTGTTGCACTTTTATGATTGTTAATTTAACATTTTCTTAACAAGTTATTCATCTTGATAGAACAAGTAGTCTTAACTTGTTTGCAGCTTGTATAATGATTGAGAGTAATGTTTTTGAAACTAAATTTACTTCGTAATTCCTCGTCTGAAATTAAACATATTTGTCAATATATTTATTTTAACAACGCAAGCTATGAAGATAGTATTAGTTTACTTCCATTATCTTGAAAAATAAAATATGTGTAGAAAGTCATGGTTTATCATTTATTTATTTTTTAAACTGGCAGGAAGTAGAATATTCCGTTCTCTTTATTTCATTTTAATATAAATTTAAAAGGTATTGGCAACAAAAATCATTGTTATGAACTTATGTGTAGTAGTGTTTAGCTTATAATGTAGCCGAAATTATCTAAAAGTGTTTGGTAATGTGAACTAAAATTATGAAGTCGCCGCTGCCGATCGATTAAATAAACAACATTTAATAGATATAGTGTTACGCATTATAAAATATGTCAAAGATCCCGCTTTGAAGCTTTCTTAAAGATTAATACATATCGGTATAATTTAAAATATTACAGCAGGGCTCTCATTTTGTCTGAACAAAAGAAACCATGTTCCCTAAAAATATATATGTATAATTGTAATTCTTGTAATTCTTAGTTACACACATTATATCTTTGATAAGATATGGCCAAATTCATGATCACTGAGGTCGATAGCTGTATTGTTGCGAGGAACAAAGCAAACTTTCATGTAAAAGTAAAAGAATGCTCGAGTTCTTAATGAGAATACAATTGGCGGAACTAAACAAAATTGAAAAAATGAATTTTAAAAGGAGATAAGGAGATTCTGAAATACCTCGTAAATCATGTATGTGAAGCATTGTTCTACTCCACTTAAAATCTAGACAGTAAGTGAACTTCTGTCCGTTACCATACACCATGTTAAGCTTAGGTGAAATAGCAACACATCTATACTGATGTTCAGTCTTCGTCACAACATTTTGTTTTCCTTGACAATGTAGATCAGAGAGACACGATTTTTTAAAATACGTTTCTCTTTTTTCTGATATGCCCAAAGAAAATGCTGTGCAGACAGAGCAGATCAGTAGGTCTTAAAGACAGGACAGAGCTAAATGGCCGCCAGAGCTAAAAATAGAAAAATCAAAATCTTGTCCTGCCTTCACAGGTCAAACTACTGGTGAGATTTCAAACAAACTTTACATGAGTAATCAGTACCGTCCCTAGTTGTGCACATCACCGACAAGTTCCGCTTCACTGCATAAAAAGGCCGCTATTTTAGAGGTGTGATCTGTACCTCCCCAGTACGCTCCGCTTCGCTGCACAAAATGGCCACCAGAGCTAAAAATAGAAAAATATTGTCCGGCCTTCACAGGTCAAACTACTGGTTTGATTTCAACCAAACTATACACTCCCGGTGTCCACTTTTGGTTTTGGTTTGGTGCCTTCTGGGTGCCATGCTTTGGTGTGTCGGGGGGCTGCGTCCTGTGAACGTTGCCTTTGCCTTGTTTATCTTTATTCTTGTTATCTTTTACAGGAGTAATCAGTACCATCCTTTGTTGTACACAATACCGACACGTTCTGCTCCGCTGCACAATATGGCCACCACAGCTTAAAAAAGCTTGTCCGGCCTTCACAGGTCAAACTACTAGTGGGATTTCAACCAAACTTACAAAACAACTGCTGAGATCTTAATGAAACTTTACATGCGTGACCATACATTATTTTGGGGAGGCATATGTTTTTGTGACAAAACCCTTCTTGTTCAGATTGAATTAAAAAAAAAACTCTTTTACGACCAGGTAATAACAAAAAAGAGAAGAACAGAAACCCTAAAGAAAGCCCAACACTGCGAAATTGAATTGATTGAGCCTGTTCATGGACGATACTGGAAAATGCAAGTTACCTTCCATGCCCCCTTCCCTATCACCGGCTTAAGCAGAATTCAACATTGAAAAAGAATATGGTGAAATATTAAATTTAGAACAATCCTCAGATGTGTTCATACGGCGGTTATGATGGAACCTTTAATGTGACACAGTACTGCAATTCCATTAAAAGCGGCGTATGGTCCCCATGTAAAATAATGCGTGTGCCCTAAACGAGAAAACAATGGGCAAACTAAATAAAATGAAATTTTGAAAGTATTCAAGAGATTATTAAGGCTGCTTATCATAGATAAGCTGTCAAATGACAAAATTAATCAAAGCACTGAAACTACTGATGTATACATTGCTTGATAATATAATATTATAGAGAACAAACACTTATCATAGTATTGCAAGTAATCCATAAGTCCCCTACCGGTTAGAAACCAAGCAACATTCTGATTGGACATTGGCCATTCAATTTTACCAGTGAATGAATAACATGAATGAACTTAAATCTTTTGAGTTCTTTGATGATAAAAGTTTGTCTATATCCCAGTAATGTGATAAGTTTCCTGCCTAGTAAGGAAATTATGTTTATACAACAGATAATCAAAAGGTCCAATTTTCTCAGGATGAATAAGAATAAAAAATGTTTCAACTTTTCTCTATTTTAAGTAAATTTGTTGGAAAAAATCTTTAAAAGTGATCTCAGGAAACAGTTTTTATGAACACACAGACATACAGATAGACTGAAGGAGACTCTTTAGTTATTTTTCAAACATCACTGTTACCAAAATATAACATATTTTAATGCAAAATTCTTAAAGAGAAGATAACTCTTGAAATAAAGATGCTAGATTTATTAACATTGTCATATATGATGTGAGGTTTACTGTAAGTTTAAAGATACCATTTATAGTCACAAAGATAAGTAAAAAAAAATAACAATTTCAAATAGAGCATAAACTTTCATGTATAGTAAGTAACAAAGAAAATTAAAAAAATATATAATGTAGGTGTTGATAATGAATGTTTATTTTGAATTTGAAGAAAATCCATGAAGACAAAATTAGAAAGTTAAAGAATGATTAAGAAAAATTCAAAGTTTAAGGAGGAGTTCATTCTGGAAATATGGATTCCGTTGTCATATTATTACGATGCGGGATTTTAAAGTAAATCCTATAAGGAATGAAGAAGTTGGAGTAAAAAACCAATTACTCGAAAAAAATATAAGTTCAAGGGGGGACATAATTCTGGAATTAGTCTCACAAATGTTGAGTGATAATAAGAAACATATATATGAAGTTTGAGGTAGATATATTAAAAAATAAAGACGTTATTTAAAAAAGACAACATTTTTTTCATAAAAATTCTAAGTTCAAGGGAAGTAATTCTGATAATTTTTGTGCTAGAGTTGTAAACCTTGTCACATATGATGTGGATGATGACCAGAAACTTATATTTAAAGTTTGAAGTAAACACCTTAAGAAATAAAGAACTTTAAGTAAAAAAGCGTAAAAATTCAAATCAGAAATCTTGAAATTCAGTCTAATTGTTGCTATAGCATCAAGAATTTTCATCATATGAAGAAAAGAAAAAGATGTGCATAATTCCGAGACTGCCATCTACCTATATTTTAAGTTTCATAAAAATATTTTAAGTACTTTTTGAGTTATCACTAGTTATCACTGGATCCAATTTATGTGTTATATTTGCCATATTTTCAGTCTATTTGTTGCCATAGCAACCAGAATTTTCAACATATGAAGACAAAAAAAAAGATGTGCATAATCTCCAGACTGCCATCTACCCATATTTTAAGTTTCATAAAAAATATTTTAAGTACTTTTGAGTTATCACTGGATCCAATTTATGTGTTAAATTTGCCATATTTTCAGTCTATTTGTTGCCATAGCAACCAGGATTTTCAACATAGGAAGAAAAGAAAATAACGTGCATAATCTCCAAACTGCCATCTATTCATATATCAAGTTTC